GACCGGCAGGAAATATCATTTAGATCCCCAGTGTTCTACACTGACCCAGTCGACAGATCTCAGAGATTTCGATTACTGCTCGATGTGCGTGAACAGAGTTACACCAGCTCACCGGCGACCGCATGGTTCAAGTGGAGGAACCTAACTACATGATTTGTGCTTTTCCAGCGTATGCTTTCAAGAAGCTTTTTATGCTGGGCACTTCCACCGGTGTGAATTTGTGGCCCACAAATCGGTCATCTCACGCTGCTACTCGGGTTCGAATGCAGGGCCCTTGAGTCACGTTCATAGACTACGCAAAAAGGGGCTTTCATGTCCACACCTCACTTCGTTTTTTCTCCACTGACCTCGAGCGCATTGGGGACCTGACCTTGGTTTGTTGACCTAGGTTTTCACACTCCCCTTTTTTGGCTTTTGGCAAAAACCTGAGTGGCCTCACTTGGGCCTCAAGGCTCAAGACTCTGGTTCATCATCTCAAAAGCTTCATATTCGCTATCCGTTCTGGTGATCCTGTACTCGCATGGACCAATGCGGATTTCATCCGACCAGTCACTGTGGACTGCGTTATCCACCTCAGGTGGCTTGTCAGCCTCAGCCAGGGCAGCGAAGGAGTTCAAACCCGTTTGCGTTGGTCCTCCCACTAGCTGGGCGGAATGTAGGTGTCACCATCAGCGGAGACGCTCGATCGGCCACTCGGCCACGAGTGGATCCCAGCTGAGGGCGAGGCAGCGATTGATCGCTGCTCGCACTTCCATCCTGAGCCATTGTGGAGTCGAGTAATTTGTCGTTGTAAGTCGGCATCGAAGATGACAGAGTGCCACTTCCAGAGGACCCCTGCGGTTCTCCAGCCGCTGCTCCATGGACCGTGAGGTTCTCCGCCAAGTGGTTGGTCCCCAGTTCACCGTCAACTCAACTCTCGGCACCGCGGGTTCTCAATCCGAAGAGCTTTGCGAACGAGTTCATCCCGGTGATATAGTGCACTTCCCACTTGGAGCGAATGGTGTGTCATGTTCATTGCCTTGGTGGAGCTTTAGTTGACGAGTTGTGTCCTCCAGCACTTCTTTGAACCCATGGGTTATTTTGTTCCACCGCTCGACCACGGGTAATGGTGGTGACTGTTTTGGAGTCACCCCACATGCCTGTCCACTCTCGCCTGCAAAGATCTGAGGTGGCGTTGTGCTCCACTCCTCGGAACTGCGGCGGTGGTGGTGGTGTTGGCCTGGCTGCTTTTTGGCGTTTTCTCCAGAGGCGCTGGCCTCAATGCCATCTTCTCCTTCAAGGTTTCCACCTCCCTTCGGAGTTTATCATTTTGGCGCCAGAGTTCTTCCACATCTCGGCTTTAGGGCCCTGTGTAGGTCACGTTCAGATCTAGGTCTTCGTGGCGTCTATGATCGCTTCGTCGTTGGTGTTGAGGATGATGACCCGGACCCTGATACCCCTGGGTTTTTGCGCTTCATGGTGGTTCCCACAGGTTCCTTTAGAGCGCTGTTATCTTTCATGGTTCCGATCCAACTCGTCTGTGGCATGGGGGGGTCCTCCAGAGCTTTGTGCGTCTCCATTCCGCGTGTTTCCACCTTTGGCCAACCAGGTTCGATGTTGATGGTTTTCTCCATGTTTACAAAGTCAGGCTCCTTCTCACAATCTTGATGATCAGCCCTTCCACCATCACATGCACTGTTTGCCCGCTGCACTACCGAGGTATACTCCTGGTCATGAGCTTCTACGCTTCCTGCTCCACGTCAAGGCTCCGCGCGAAGCTCCTCGGATCCAGCAATGGCGCTTTCGTTCTCACCTTCCGGGCAAGGCCTCTGGCTGGCCTCCAACAAAGCAGTGCGCTCTTGGATGTCCTTGGACCTGTCTCAGACAGGGTGGTCTTTCTGGACTCACGATGCCCGTGTTGGGCTCACAACCTGCAACGGAATTCGCAGGCTTGTCGAGCGACCAAAGAGTGTTCGACGATGTGACGTGTTGTCGCTGCACCTTATGGCACGCTCCATGGATTCAAAAGGTGAGTGCAAGCACAGGTGATCCCGTGTTCACTGATGCAGAAGGAGCTCTGACGACAAACAGTGATGTAGCCTCTTCAACCCCCTACCGACGAAGGCGAGGGTGGGGACAAGCCGAGGCAGCTTTAGACTGCAGGGCCTTGCCCACCGCAACTCAGGGGCTTGGAACATTCTAGCTGTGACCACCTTTCTTTGCAGACAAAGTGATGGAGGAAGGGATGAATATATATTTATATAGCCAATGACGCAAAAGTTTTGATTGCGTAAAACAAATCAACCGTTCGTCTTGGCCCATTTTCACAACATGCCGATGTTGATGAAATTGTTCTTGCACGCTTGTTGGCAAAGAACATGGTGAAGTGGTCTTGAGTCTGGAATGTGCTGCGCGTGGTTGTGTTTTTGGTGACAACGCGCATGGGAACATAACGACACACACATATACATATGTATAGGAAACTTGTTGCCATAGAATTAGAAGCGGATGCTGACGTTTGTAACGTCCGTTTACAATCCTGCAGATTAAGGTGAGCAAAGGAACCATCAATGATGAACAGCGCGATAGCACCAATCTCATGCAGTGGGCGTCAAAGGAATGGCCAACTTTGGCATGCAAGTGAGTGGGAAACCATTTGTTCTCCCAAGAAGCGAAGCCTGTACACGTCCACTAATGCTTCACCCAATAATCTTGCACTGCTTCGGGATTGACATTCTGAGGAACATTTCGATGGGCGCCGGGCAATGTCAAAGTTGAGCAGCCGTGGATGTGGGGCCAGAAAGCGTGCTACGGTAATTAAGAAACCAAACATTCAATGACCAACCATCAAACCAAAGGTGACGAAGCCGCGGGTGCAGGAGGGATACCTATCAAAAAGAAAATTAATTCCTACCAAAAAGAAAATTGATTCCTATCAAAAAAGAAATTAATTCGTATCAAAAACAAAATTCCCCCTGCTCCTTTGGTCCTGGTCTGCTGGTTCCCTGGTCGCTTGGTCCTTTGGTCCCTTGGTCCTCTGGTCCCTTGGTCCCCTCATCCCTTGGTCTGTCTGGTCCCTTGGTCCTCTGGTCCCTTGGTCCTCTGGTCCCTTGGTCCTCTTGGTCCTCTGGTCCTTCGTCCTGGTCTTCGGGTCCTTGGGTCTGTACTTTCGAGGCAAGGCGCGTTAAAGGTGATTTGGAAATCTGGTCATACATCCTGTGAAGCACCGTAGCAGACCTTTTATCGCCAGACGTAGCACACCTTTTTTGTGAGCCACCCTGAAGGTAAAATTTAGACGAAGAAAGTGCCATTCCAAGGTAGCAAACCTTTTGTGAGCCACCTGAGGGCAAAATTTTGAAGAGGAAGGAGCCATTCCAACGTTGCAGACCTTTTGTTAGCCTTGCGAGGTCGAAACTTAGAGGAAGAAGTTGCCATTCCAACGTAGCAGGCCTTTGTTTTGTGAGCAACCCGAGGGTAGAACTTGCTATTCCAACGTAGCAGACCTTTTGCGAGCCACCCGGGGTTAAACTTCAGGTGCCACGCCAAGGTAGCAGACCTTTTGTGAGCAAAATTTAGAGGAGCAGTAGACCTTTTGTGAGCCATGCGAGGGCAAAATTTACAGGAGCAGAACTGTTGTCAGCGTAAACTTTAGAGGAGGAAGGTGCCATTCCAACATAGCAGACCTTTTGTGAGCCATCCACAGGTCTTGTGGTTTTGTGAGCCATCGTGAAATTCAGACAGATCACGGTTGAGATGCAGGGGAGGTGTTGAAATCTAAGTTCTATACTTGCAGAGGGTGTAGAAAGATGTTCAGATCCAGAGATATCAAGAGCTCTTTTCACAGGTCTTCAGATCCACAGAATTTTACAAACGCCACGCAAACTGCACTACAAGGTTCGCAATCGCTGCGCTTGCCACGAAGTCTGCGCTGATAGACGGAGGTTCACGCAATCTGCACTTCGAGGTTCACGAAGTGCTGCGCCCGCCATGAAATCTGCAGTTCCGGTGCACAAAGTGCTGCACCTGCCACGAGCCCTGCAACTGAAGGTGCTCAAAGTGCTGCGTGCAAAGTGCCGCTCCTGCCACGAAACCTGCTACATGGAGGTGCTCAAAGTGCTGTGCCTGCCACGAAATCTGCGCTTCCAATGCGCAAAGTGCCGCTCTTGCCACGAAACCTGCTACTGGAGGCGCTCAAAGTGCTGCAGTGCACAAAATGCCGCTCTTGCGACGAAATCTGCTACTAGAGGTGATCAAAGTGCTGCGCAGGCCACGAAATCTGCAGTTCCAGTGCACAAAGTGTCGCTCCTGCCACGAAATCTGCCACTGGAGATGCTCAAAGTGCTGCGCGCGCCACGAAATCTGCGCATCCAGATTCACATCGCGCAGCGCTGCCAAGGCGGTTTGCAGTGGCAGGCGCAGCTCTTTGTGAGAGATATTTTGTTTTTGATACAAATTAATTTTCTTTTTGATAGGATATAGAAATTTTCTTTTTGATATATATCAATTTTCTTTTTGATAGCCCGGCCGGTGCAGGAGGTGCTCAATTGAAACAAATTTGTCGATGTGAGGAACGACAAACAGGTTCTACATCAGAAACAATGTGCAATGGACTTCAAACAGTATCAAACAAAAACCCTGCAATTTTTTTCCGCCTGTTTTCCATTGCCATAAATATGCATATTTATAAATATGTAACTTTCTCATTGGTTGGGTATCTCGCCTGTGTTTTTTTGAAACAAATGCACATATATACAAGTTTTGCATTTGTACTTCCACTTAGAGGTGGTGGAAGTACACAGTAAATGCAAACTTGTATATATTGTTGGAAGGTGATTTGTGTGGTGTGCAGGGGTTTGTGTTGTGTGCCACGATGCAAATCGGCGACGGTCTGTTCGAGTGTTGAAGATGGTCCGAAGGATGGTGATGCTCGGGGAGACAGGAAGTTAATGCACCCTCAAACAACTGATTCAAATGCTTGCAATGTCAAGAGCCTTTGGCTGTTTGTGGCGATGCCTTCTGAGGCCATTCCCAATGCCCAAGCGTGGATCTTAAAAGTCGATTTCCATTGTCATCTCAGCTGCCTGACCATTTCACCTCCTTTGCCATCAGATTCAGGGCGCTGAGAACGGTGTGGCAGGTAGACCAACTTCTTTGTGCGGGGGGGGGGGCGGGGAAACATTGCTAGGTGTGACAACAATGGCGTTGTTTCAAAGAGCCCATGTGAAAACACCTCGAGGCTCCCATGCGAGACGAAGACGTGGTCCATATTCAGAAGGAGGATGTTTGGGTAAAGTTCAACTTCAGGCAGGGACCTCCGAGTCAAATTCAATGTTCAGTACGTGATCCTCCAAGTCAGCCTCCCAGCCGTCCAATCGTGTGTAATTTCAACTCCTCGCAGAGCACAGCACTCCTCACCCTCCCACTCGCTCTGGTGTCAGAGAGCCAAGAAGCAGGACCCCCAAGCTGACGGAGGCAATTCTGAATGTGACGCAGCGCAAAAACGGGGACGGAGGGACAGGGGGGAAATGGTAGGGGGGTGAACGCGTTCTGACTGTTGTGACGGAATCATTTGGGTGATGAGGGGGCCACGGACTGATAATTAATCATTTTTGTGTCGCCTTCTTGGTGGAAAGACCGAGGTTGTAAGACGACAGGCAAAAATACATCCAAGCAATCTATTGTTTTGTATCTCCTGTTTCTACAACGACAGCATGCCTTTCGCCACCACACCACACCTCTATAGAAACAAGACATAAATAAAGAGCTAGAGCAGCTTTTCAGCTGTCACATCAACGCTTTCTTTGGAGCTACCGTGAGTTGCCCATGTGTTCAAAAGAGACAGGAGCAGCAGGAAAGACAGACATTTCTTTTGAGTTTTTTTTGGGATGCCAGTTGCTTTGGCAAGTTCTACCCGGTTTGGCAGTAACACTGCTGCTTTTACACCTATGTTTGGTGTAAGGGACGTCCCAAGAGTTCCCCTGTCATTGGTCGCGTCTCAGGGGTTTCAACGTCTTGATCCACAAGCAACACTAGACTTACTAGATCCTTTGGATGTGTCCAGCCATTTGGCCATGGGCCATGTCTCACCAGCCATTCTGATGTGGCTCGAGTGAGGTCATAATAATGAGTGGAGTCATACTGACGATGTTGGCCGTGACCTTGGAGTTCCAAATCGGCAGTCTTCTTCCTTCGGACTGTTCTGAGACCTAGTATGATGCCCAAAAGGAGTATTCACATCCACTTAGCAGTTTCACCAATCTTTCACTTTCACCATTTGCACAGCTTTCAGGTATTTCAACAAAGTAACTGGCTGACCGCCAAATGAGTTCTGTAGAATGTGCAAGTGCCAAAGTGCTTCCAGCACTAGTTTAAGAAGATGTTGTTTGGACTCTGTCGTGCTTGAACCTGCTCAGCTACACCCAGTCCATTCTAGCTTTGTTAGGTCGGTGCAGCTTGTGTATCCTCAGCTGTTTCCCACACCGCTCCTTGGATGCATCGAAGTGCAGCACGACGTCGTTGAGGACCCATGGATCCTCCAAGTCCGCAGTTGGGCTCTGAAGCTCTGAAGGGCAGCTCTGAAGCATTCTGAAGCTGAACAAATGGAAAACGACGGGTCCAAGCTGCTCCAGGTCCTGTCTCCAATCCAAGACCTCCTGGAGATCGATCGAGCCCAAGGTTTTCGTTGGTCTCTCTCACTCAAGCGCAGCCGTAGTGGACTAGATGCTGATGTAGAAGTTCAGGATGACTTTGATGGAGCATTTTCTTTGCGATCTCAATCGTAGTTTTGTGGTGCAATTTCTGAATATTCGTGAATATTCTGCTTCCTGCTTGGCTGCCCAAGTCGATTCACATCATGCTAGCATTCTTGGCTGACCAGGTCCATTCCACCGCCATTCAGATCTTTGAAGCTGTGGAACAAATGGCAATCTACTTTGTCAAGGTGGGAGGCTTTGACTTCCGGTTCTGGAAGACTGGAAGATGAGAGAAACAGAACTTGGTGGAAGGAGCAAAACCTTTTCCACCACAGATGGTGATTTATGCGCTGATGTGGAACACCGATCGGCAGTCTCTGGTTTTTGTGCCCATCCTCGCAGGATTACTCGAACCAGCAGTGGCGGGAAATGGTGACCAAGGTGGGAGCGAGTTGACCTGAGTGTAGAACGTACCCCCGAAAGTCATCAAAAAGGCTTTCCCAATAAGTTGTTCTAATTTTGCTTGGTATTGGCTCAATATTTTCCATCAAGTTTATGTGTGAATTTGAATTGGAAAGGGATCCTAGGTCTGAAAGCGGAAAAGAATCGGGATCGTGAAGGTTTTTTGAATGCTCAAGTGGAAGTAGGAAGATCCAATCTAGTGAGAGCATTTGCAAATGGGTTTGAATTGCACATGCATTTCGTTGGGGATCTAGCATCACGAAAGGGCTTCGGCTTTATTGAGAGCTAACTGTTTAGTTGATTGCAAGAACATAAGCAAAAGGAGGTGCAGTGACTTCGAGTAAGCACACGTTAGAAGCTGTGAGCTTCGAGCTCTGTTTAGTGCTGGGTTTTATTTGGTGCCTAGGTATGGGGGCGATTTTGTCCGTGATGTTCGAGAAATATCATGGACTCCTCAAGAAAGGAGTGTGTAATTGATCCGATTTTTGAATGTGTGAATAGCCATAGGTTCCCTTGGCAGAGAAGGTTCTCATCTTCACCTGACACAGGGAGTTCATCTTCTTCCGACCTGTTCTCCCAAAGATTCCCTAAGCTTTTTTGTGGCTCCCAACTTGTTGAGCTACATTGCAAGATCACAAAAGTTGGTGTTGCCACATCTTTGGGCGGGCCCTACCCGGCCCTCTCCCCGTAAACTACCTTGGGATGAGACCGGCGACGGGCTCGCAGGACGTGAACACCAACCGCTTTGCTCACGAGGTGCAGCTTCTCTCCAAGGCCCCGAGTCGATTCTTTCAGGACAGAAAAGGCGGAGCGACCTCCTGGGACCTCCTTGGACAGTTGGCCAGGTCTTGAAAAAGTTGGATTTGCTGACCATCATCGCCAATGCCAAGAGACCTGTGGATGAATTCGAGCAGCTAGGCCCGGCAAGGGACAGTTTGAAGAGGTTGGTCGCTGAAGCTGGAAGGGCCCAACATGGGGGCCGTTTTGGGTTCTATTGCCGGTTCACCCATCCTACTAAGCTGTGACTGAAGAAGTGGCATCTTGTAAACAAACACAAGTGCATGAATCGGTACTTTGTTGGATGGGTGGCTGCTGAATGTGGGTTCGAAGTCTAGGTGCTTTTTTCAGATCGCCACGTATGGATGGTTCTGGGAATTGGATTTGGGGAATGTCGTCGCAGGTGATGGGCCTTCCTCCTTTTTGCAGGATTTCGCCACGTGTGGTCTGGCATGTTGGGGGATTTGCCAACTGCAACAGATTTGGCCGCACTCGCAGCGTTAGGCCGTTAGGCGGAGATGATATGGCAAGCGATCATGAAACTGCAAGGAACCGAGCTTTGAGGGATAGATAGGAGTCTTAACTCATCTAGAACAAGACTATCGCAGCGAGGTTTTTGACGTATCCGAAAGCAAGTCTTGGACTCTGTGAGAATTGCCAGGTATGCAGCTGTCCGGCATCGGATGACCTTGCCACGTCCTGACACTTGGCCTTGCAGTTTTAGCAAGGTGACAAGGTGCGTTGACACACACACACACACACAAGGATCACTAGTTGTGGTCGGATGTCCATCGACCATCCCTAGGACCCCAGGACCATCTGACCTCTGGGCCTGAGAAAAACTCTTGTAACTCCGAGTTAAGCATACCCATCGGATGGCCGACTTCAGCCCACTCTGAAATCAATGGGACAATGGCAATGGACATATTTCAGAATTAATTGCAATTGGTTATGGGTCTTATGGGTCTTGTTCTTTGACAATTGTTCTTTCCCAATCTCTTGTCGTCGCCACTATTGTCTTTATCACGATCACTGTTCTGCCAAGGAAGGGCAAGTTGAATTGGATGAGACTGAGCAATTGATGTCAGCCTGAGCTTGTATTCATTATTGTTTCTGGTTTCTTTCATCAAAAGACTGGTTGACCGAATCGTGCATGAATTCACAACACTGCATTCCGACTTTTCCTGTCCACCTAGAGCTCCAACATGTTTCTTTTGCTGATGTGTGCTGTTTGTTGCTTTTGCCTGATTCCAAACTCCTTCTCGCGTTCTCTTCGAAGCGGAGCTGTGCGCCAGGCTTATGCAATGCATTGGCCAAGAACTTGCTCCAGCGCGACGCCCAGAGATGGGCAGAGAGTTGGCGTTGACATCGCCGACCTGGGGCAGTCTGGTTTGGAACGTTTTTGAGAGGCAACAGAACCTATCATTTTGTATTTCCCCACCTGCCAGGTGAGGGTTGTTGGATTTTATCAGAGCTCTCCTCCTCCTCTCTCCTCTCCTTGACTACCGCACCTCAACTGCAAGTGCATGATCGCAGTGGGCACTACCGGACCTCAACAGCAAGCGCCAGATCGCAGTGGGCACTACCAGACCTCAATGGCAAGTGCCATCTGCCAGTGGGCACGACCAGACCCCAACCACAAACACACAATCACAGACACACAAGTACAGACACAAACACAACCACAAACATACAACCACAGACACACAACCACAAACACACTCACAATCACAAACACACAGTCACAAACACAACCACAAACACAATCACAAATACACAGCGACAATCACAAACACAACACAGAACCACAAACACACGCGCCAGCCAAAAGTTGATTCGCCCAAGAGTGCCGCCGGATGATTATTTGTATGAGCCACCAGCAGAGGCGGAAACGATGAAAATGCGTTTGATTCGTGGCCAGCCTTTGACAGCTATGCCTGGTCATCGTCGAATTCACACACTGTCAGCAGAAGGCGCAAGTGAGCTGGAGTTGGATGGAGACGCTTGGCGGCCGTTGTATGTGCAAGATGCTTGGCAAGTGCAAGCCCGGGCCATGCTGCATGGTTGCGGTCCATGGCAACATGCTCCTCACCATGGCGTGAAAACAAATCATTGACATGTCATGGTGGGGATCAGTATATAGAACTAATTTTGGACTTTGCTTCCTGGTACCATGTCATGCCATAGGCATGTCAGCTCCTTCCAGTTGATCCGGATGTGAAATTGTGAGGTTGAGATCAGCCGGGCTGACTGGGATGATTGGGACTTGCACATAGCAGATTTGAACTCCACGTGGAGACCTGAAGGGACAAGACGGACTGTGACAAATGATGCTGGTTGAAGAACTGAGACACTTATTTTTGTAATTGGGAAGGGGTATATAGATGCTTAGTCTATAGTTATTATGTGTACAATCCAAGTTCTGAATACAGTAGATTAGAGTAGGCTCGTCTTTCAATTCTGAGGCAGCGTTCGTCTTTGGCCCGGTGCTTGTTTGTCATGTACGACACCACTCCTGGGTTTGGATCCGAGGCTTCATTGTAGCCGATGCACAATGACACAAAATGATTCACAATGTGTTCACCTTTAGGGCTGCCAGTGTTTCTCAAGGTTTGAAGGATACCGAGCAGTCAGCATAAAGAAGTACACGTGCCACTGCGAGTTCATCAAGGCTCTTCATCTCTTTTTCTTCCTCTGTCTTCTTTGCAAACACTGAAAAAACATGCCGGTGCAAGAAAAAAAATTCGGAGAGCAGATTGCATGTATGCAAACAGAACAAAGGACATGCGGACGATGATCTTAACTTTTTGTGGTTGCGTTACATTGAATCTTTCGAGCTTTGCACAGGCCATGGAGGGTCAGTATGAAGATGAACAGGCTTGGCACCAATTAACCTTGGCCGAAGTGACCAACACATGGAGGAACCAGACGACGCAGGTCATGCTAGTTATTTGTGAGCTGTGTACTGGTGTTGGGATCCTCTTCCTGAGCTGATCTTGATTGGAGGCTGTCCAATACCACAATTGGATTCACGCAGCCAGTTTCCTTAGTACCATGGTGACATGCCGCAGACCACGAAGCTGATGGTTTTAGTGCGTGCCAGCGCTGATGTGTTTTACCATCATGGTTGATGACGTTTTTGTAGCATTGCTCTCTCTCTCTCTCTCTCTGCATGGCTCTTCCAGGGCAGTGAGGGAGGCTTCATGTCCCAGAACGTTACAGGTTACAGCTTTTGGGTGTTTTTTCCCTTGGCTGTTAGATGATGTTTGCATAGCCTTCCCTTGGGGGATGTGAGTGCTGTGACGTGTGAACGAATGACATGAAAGGATGCTTGATGCTTGTGAAAAAGGAGCTCGATGCTCCATCATCAGCATTTGTTATGTGTTTGCATGGGTTTCTTTCCTTTCAACCGTTGCAGTCGCAGACTCCAAGTTTTTGCCCTTCATGTTTGTTTGAGGTTGATGTGGCCTTCACTTTGCAACAGATATTTCGTCAAATCAACGTTCGGAAGCTTAGTCATGGGCGGGACATGGATCAGCTCAGCCCTGTCACCTGGCAACATGTTATTTCCTATAGTGTCTTTGCTTTGGACAAAGCTCATCCTGCTCATGAATCCCACTCTGCAGGGCATGGGCTACAGTAGGGACCTTTCTGCGTGTGTGAGGGAACAAGCAGGTCAAGCAAATCACTTGATCTACCTGAAACTACAACAGCCCCTGACATGGGACATCCATGAGGTGACGTGTTCCCATTGGGAGTGACCTGGATACTGGTACATTCCTAAGTTCATTGCTTCGACGACGCCGAGGCCGAAGCCTACTTTGCAACCCATGAGCGATTTGCGCAGAGACCCAGAGTTAGTACCTGAAGTACGCAATGGACGGGCCTTTTCTGTTTCAATACATGACCTACGTATAGTTAGATGCCAAAGCTGCGGGAACCCATGAGGCAACTCACATTGATGCACAAACGGGTCAACGTGCATGACACTGTGATGGCAGCATGCCCTGGCACCCATCAGCATTCGCTTCAAACACCTTGGATGAAGCGAAGGGGCTGATGGTGGCTGCCTTCGCACACGATGCAGGGAACTTTGGTGCGGGGCCCGATCGGGCGAATTCCAGAGCATAAAGTGGCCAGTGCCTTGTCAATCCGATGATTCATACACAAAGTGGAAGAGTTCCTGCGTATGCCATATCAGCTCTTAAGACACAATTGAAGTGAAGCCTCGTCGTTAAGTTGATTGGCCGGAGCTTTGCAAGCTTTGCTGGGGGGGGAAGTATCAGTACCCAACCAACACGGACAGATTGCTGTCAACCTTGGAGTCGGCATCAATTGGCAGGTGTGACGAATGGCTTCCTCAGCCAGTCTTTGCATGAATTTTCCCTCATGTACAATGATGTGAGCTGCCTGCAACATTTGGCCTGCGCCAAGCTGGGTGGCCTGGAAGGGGAAGGGCCTTTTTGAAGCATGGAAGTGTCTCAGGGGAAGCAACATGAAGCAACTATGACAGTGACATGCCTGAGAGTTGGCACGCTCGACTTCACGAGTCTATTTTTCTGCCAAACAAGATGGACAGTGCAGGCTTCGTGGTTCGCTCTGGTTCTTGGGACCCTCTGAGGCTCTTCCGCATCGCGTCTGAGCCGGGCACCTCGATCTTCATCAATTTCGACAAAGCCACCCGCCAGGATGTTCGCCAGGTGGGCAACCGACCGGGCGGAAAAAGGGCTTTGAGAGCCACGCGGACGGTGTTGGCCGTTTCTGCTCAGAGCGAATCTTTCAAGAGCCTTCAATAACTGAAGTAGATACAGTAGGCCAGAAAACATGACCTCTAGTCTAAGGCTCTAAGAGGAAGGTGAAGCGAAGTCATCCTTTCGTTTCGATTTGAATTCATGAAGCTGCCAGATCATCATATTTGCGATCCTTCATACAGATCCACAGTGCAGAGCCAAGCTATGCATATTGAAAGATGACTCGACAGGAAAGGCTGAAGTGATCTGCAGAGAGTTTCTTGAATGAGGGTGGCAAACAACATATGACAGGTATTGTTAATATGCATGTTTCCTGTGTTGGGCATGCTGATGAGGTGTCAGCTGGATCTTTTGGCACAAATGTGGCTCACTCAGGGAAGGCATTTGGATCCCAGTGTGCCCCTGTATAGAGCTCTAGTAAAAAGGGACTTTGTCAGAGATGTTTCGGGGGGCAGTGCATTCTAGTCCTACTGATTCTACACAATGCCTAGACCGGGCGGTGTAATCCCAAGAGCAGGAAAGGAGGAACCAACATGATCCATCAATCTCGTCCTCGTCTTTCATGTTATGAGTTATGAGATTGATGGTGTACGAAAGGAAAAGGACAGGTTAACCGCTGTAGGGAATTGACAGCCGCTGTGTCTGACTGTACTCGTTCTTGGATCTGGGCCCCCCTGCTCTTGGCCTGTGGAAGAGAACTTGGATGAAGAACTCGAGCCTTTGGTAACAGCCCAGATGTGTGTAGCTGGTGCTTTGAGCGAATGAAGCTGCTGGGGTCTTTGCAAAAGAGCGCTGAGGTGGACCCATTATGAAGGACGCAAGGAGCTCTTTGATCTGATACAGAAGCTTTCAAGGTGGGCAGGGACCAGGGAGAGACGGGCAGTCATCAGGAAGGTGACATCTGAGCAGGATGTGGAATGACATTTGAGACTCGGAGACTAGGCTGCTGACCTGAGATCCCGGCATGACTCGCATCGACATTTGAAATGGAATGTTTAGAATGTAAAGCGAAGGACCAGTGGTCTTTTTGCTTTGCGGCAGCAGATGTCAGCCGTCAGCATTGATCCGGAGATTCATGTTCTCAATGGTTTCTTTGGTTCGCTTTTGCTTGCGCATATTTGAGAGGCAAGAGCTGGAAGAGGGTGACAAGGACATCCTTTCGAAGGCACACAAAGAGGTTGAGGACAGAGTGGGGGAGGACACATCCTCTGGGTGTTGCCACGTCTAAAGTACAAAGAGTGGGATGGTGATGATGGCCATGAGACTACTTCTCAGTCAATGTGTACTCGTGGCAGGTGATTCCACCTTCACAACTTCCTTCGATAGTCTTGAAAGGTAGCGAAATACAAGAGATGTTTGCTGTCTCCACAGCCGCGATGCACGTTGCCATGGAGTAGACCATGGAGCTTGGTGTCAAACAGCGCCTGGAGGACTACTTCTGGAATGCAGATGTGAAGTATTCTTTGCGAGTACACCGGGCCTGTTGCGAATCCATGAACATGGGCGCTGCGAACTATACATAGAATACATGGATGACTTGGGTCTGGATCGCTCCAAGCAGGTTCATGGTTATCATGGTTCACGGATGGTTCACGGCTTCTATTGCAGGTCAGTTCAGCCGCAGAGGTTCGTCGTTTGCTTTTTGAGAGAATCTCGCGTTGCCAGAACTTGCTGCTTCACGTCGCAGACAACTCCTATTCCCTGAAGCCTTGGGAGGTGTGTTTACACTGGGCTGGGGTACCCAGTGAAACAGCACCATGGGGCGGGGCAGAGAAGTTCCAATTATTTGGCTGGGGCTTGACCAAGTAGCCTTTCCAAAGCACTGCCACACACAATCTCCGAGGCTACTGCACTTTCGGAAGAGTTCTTCAAGCAGGCCAGCAACAGATTTTGAGACCATGCCACTTGCACCTTTTGTGCCTGCTGTGGGCCCACTATCGAGTTCAACAGAGCAGCATGAGTGGGTTTGAAACTGCAACCATTTTATGACACGTGCTTTTCTTCACAGATCCGTTAGGTTAGATAGTTAGATAGAGAAGAATGAGAAGGAAGAAAAGGTAAGGGGCCCCTCTAAAGGGGCTCTTACCTTTTGTTCCTTCTCTTTCTATTTTTGGTCAAAGCCCTCGATATGTCAAAGCCCTTAGTTGCATTGTCAGGGCGACCTGGAGAGGAGCTACAAATTGCCAATGCAGCCGCTGAATGATCGTGCGCGGGTGAATGTGGCATTTACCCAGGCAGCACAGCAGATTTGGAAAAGGAAACCATGAGATCGCTGCCAAGGCTTATCACCTAAGACTGTATGGACGGTGTTTTCCTGAACTCAAAACCTGTCAGGTCAGCAACATTAAGCACATCATCATCCCACAGACCAAGCTTTTAGTGACGCTGTTGCCGAACTTGCGGAGCTGTCAACTGCTCAGCTCACCAAATCGAGCGCCATTGACGAACTGCTTCATTGTGGCTGACGAGTGAGATGTTGTGGATGTTGTTCTTCACCACATGTCATGGTCAGCACATGGTTTTGAACAATGATGTGACCCCGAGGCAAGAAGAACATGTGGCTGAACTTGCGAAGGCACATATTCTTGTCATTTGAACAGCGGTCATTAGTATTTTGATGTTTCTTGTTTGACTTTGTTTGTATTAGAGTGGCTCCACGAGACAACAGGACGAATTGAAGTACTGTCCCGTACCGCTACCTGGGATGTTACTCTTGCAGGATACGGCTAATTATGTACTGTACGAATCATATTGTTCAAGTTTAAAAGCCCATTCATTCGTCCAGGTCTTGAAAAGAGATACAGTTATATAGAAGCGGCCAAATCACAAGGAACGGACATCAAAGGAAGAACAATCAACGCAAGACACCTGATTTTTTTGACGGACTTAAATGACAGCTGCCAATGTGAGTATCCGGAGGCTCATGATGATCATGATGGCTACTGGACCAACTAGTGTACTAGGAGCAAAGGGCATCGCTACTAGGAACAAGAACGCTACTAGGGGCTCCTGGCCTCACTACTAGGAGCAAGAAACTTTGAGGTTTAACACCCTAGCGATCAGGGCGGTAGAACAACTCGGGGGGTCCTTTGTGCCCTTGGGTGGCGGGTCGATGGTAGTACGGCCAGGAGCCCCTAGTAGCGTCCTTGCTCCTAGTAGCGTCCCTGTGGTTCGTTGGATTTGTTCGGCACAGGTGGATCTCCAAGTGGAAGAAGTCGGGCCCTGACCACGATGAGATGAGCAGAGTTCGACGCCCAGGTCAAGAGTCAGCGTGCCAATGTCACTTGCTAACATTTGCCACATTTGCCAACTATTTTACCTGAGAATGGTAGAATCTGCTATATAACTGCGGCTTCCGAACTTTCGCGCGGGCTGGCATCAGGTCCTTCAGGAAATCAAGGAGTTGCGAGAAGAGGACTATTCTGATCACGAGGCTCCGACCAATCGAACTTGCCATCTAGCCGTGGTTCATGCGACCCATCACCCAGCAGAGCGGGAATGATTCCGACCTCGCAATTTGTTTTGGTTGGTCGACATCGTTTTTTCCGGCTGATGTGATGTTCGGTCCCGTCAGGAGGCCATGGCCGGCAAGGAGGCATCCAGTAGCTCCGAGGAGGTGATGCCGTTGCGTTCCGTCCCGGAGGGCTTCGAGATGCGGCGCCGCGCCTCGATGCGCTCCGTGAAGTCCGGACGGTCTGCAAAGTCCACGAGCCCACGAAAGGACTTGTCAGGACATGCCGATTGAGAAGTTGACAGGATACAGAAGGACTGATTGAAAGAGAGATGAGGATGGCGAGGATTTTGTGAGGATTTGTATCTTCTGAGCATCCCAACCTCAGGTAACCATTTTCGGGATGGCTTATTTAATACACTTCTGGAAGAGAGTTACATCCAAGAACAGTTGCAAATGCAGTGGTGTGGAGTTTTCAAGTTGCTGCCTTTCTATAAAGTTTTCTCTTTCATTCTCCTGATGCCATTCATCCCCAATCCCTGCTTTCTCTGAAACTGCCCACGTACATACCTGTTTAGAGTGAGCTTGGCTTTCTTTCTGCTTTCTTCCTTGGCCTGATGTACCTTTCTTTCCTAGATCCTGTCCACTAATTGAACTATTCTAGCTGCTATGACTCCATTCTGCTTGCTCCGATGCTTTTCTGCTATGCTTGGGACTGCTACAATTCTCGATTTCCGGACACCAGCCAGCATTCAACATTCAATCAGCCCTTCTAATGGCCCATGTATAAAAGATGGTTGTGACCCACTTGGCCTAATGGTTGCAACTGCACAACTTGGAAAGGTTCAGCCACAAAGGATGGATTGCAACCATTTGGCACACTTGGGCGGGCCGACCACTCGAGAGTAGGCTTTAAGCTGGGACATGATGCGATCTTCTGAGCCCATGATAACGAAGCATTTGGTGACTTCGAAACTGTGAGCCGCCAGAAAATGAGTGGTAACTCTCAAGAAGAGAGGTTTGCAACTCTGCAGATTCGATAAACAAATGCATGTGTCCGGGAGGAGAGCAGGGATGGGCTGGTTCAAACCACGAGTGTTATTTGCTTGTCTAATTAAGGTGGCTGTGAAGGTGTGAACGGAAGAGTACAGTTACAAACAACCTTCTGGCGGCTTTTTTGCAAAGTAGTCCCAAAGGTCACAATTACTCTCTCGGGCATCCAAAAATGTATCCATTTCAACGTGGGGTTGCCCGGAATTCATGTGGATCATGACGTTTGCCTGTCCAGACAGACCAAAGGAAGAGGCAATTTCAGCTGTTAGAGGCTCATGAAGCACCCACGAAAATCAGTGCGAACAGAACAGAGTCAAACATGTCAGACAAAGAGAGGCAGAGCTGGAAGGATTGATCTGGCATGTTCAGACTTCCTGAGATCTTCAATACATTCCGATACAGAGATACATTAGATACGTCGAGTTATCCGATTAAACTGGTTTGAGAGCAAGACCCTGAGAGTCGCCATGTCGCCGTTGGACACTGTCGGGGTCCTTTGCGGACAGTGACCAGCAAGTTTTTCTCCCGGTGCGAGAGACTGTGGGGACATCGCACGCAATGAGGTGCCCAACACCACTTGGAGTGCCATGATCTCAAAGGAGGACTGCATCAGGGTGGACCAGGTAGAAGTAGTTGTGTTTCCTCGCGATTCCACCATGCCATCTCTTTTTCCTTTGCATTCCCCTGGAAAGCCAGCATCTTTTGCCTCCTTTATGTTTGAGAGACACCTCCCTGGCCTTTGTACATGGAACATGAACTGAGGGAAGGGCACTGTCTGTCAGCACCGTGTTAGAACTGCCCTTGGTCAACAAATTTACTTACTGTCACATAAGGCTGGGTTAGGCCTTGTACTAGAGCCAGGCTGAAACCGCTTGGGAATATAGTACTCGTAGCATTGTCATTCCAATGAACTCCGTGATTCTATTGGCTAGGCTGGGCCGTGACGCAGGCTCATATGGACTCGTGCGATGAAATTGCTTTGCGAACTCTGTGATTCTGGGGTTGACGGCATTTGACTGGTCGAGCGCAGGACTGGCCCCCTAAAATGGCCGATGACGAGGATTCTCTGCGAATTTGCGCTGTGAGCAGCTTTGGGAGGGATAGTCGGGCATGCTCAAAAACCGTCCCAGTTGAGGTATCATCACGCACATTCCTTTCTTTTTATGTTCAGGCAGCATGGAAAATGGATGAACATTGTGCCTCATCGTCTGTTCCACTACAGTGAAAAGGTCCTGGAATGGAAGCTCTTGGCAAAGCCTCTGTGGGCAAGGCGGTTTGGCTGGAGGTGCATGTCCACTCACTGTGGCACACGCTGAGGAGCCTCTGCGATGGAAGCTGCTCGTGGTGGTGATCGACTGCAGCTATGGGCCGCGGCTACACAATCCTCCGAGGCCAGCTGTGGGGCGGAGGGGGGGGGCAAACAGATTGCCCAACACTTGACCTGACGTCCTAGTGGCTTAGAAGATGTGATCGATGACACATTTACGTGGTGGACCTAAAGTTCTTTCCATGTTCAGTCTTGTGGGCTAGTGAGGTTCGGTTTCACCCTGCTATAATGATACCAGATGGTACCAACGCAGGAAGCATGGCACATGCGAGACGCCCACTTGCCTGACATTGCCTGACTTTGAAGTATCACAGCCAAATAGCCAGAGAGCCAGCTTTAGCAACCTTTAACTTTAACCATAAAATTGATGAGCATCGTATTGACTTGGAGGTTCTCTTTGAAGATGTATATATTCCAAAATTGTATTCGGGGCGTATTTATGGCAATGTGCCCATGGGCAGAGTGCTTGTCTATGCTTGACTTTGAGCGAGGTAAGCTGTTTGGTTCTGACGTCTCTCGGTTTGTCATCAGGTCCATCCGAGCTCTGAAAGCCAAGCTGGCGGCCGCCCTTGGAATTGAGGCATGGCATTTGTGAGGATCATGGTGCAGGGTACATCTTGGACCAGCAGAATTCTTTGTGGGTATTCCATGGTACATTGGATGGGATTGGGAACTGATCGGAGCGTCGGATGGCCGCAGGCACTCTCGAAGCAATCTGGCACCAGTGGAGCCGAGGCTTGAATTGGACCGAAAAGCAGCTATGTAACTATGTCTAAGTAGCTTGTGAATAGCTGGATTTCTTTGAAAACATCGTTGCGCGACTCAGCAGTAGTGAGGAGCTTGCGGATGATGTGTCAATCGCTGCCAGTATGCCTCGAAGAGGAAGTTCTCTACCTTTGATGAGATAATGAAAAGGAGAGAGAGTGCTTGGAATTCTTTAACAGGGCCCTGTTCCATGGGGCCTTATGAAAGGGGTCCATGTTCACAAACCTTTTTTTCATTTTGTAAAAATGTATATGAATCTATTTATTTTCTAAATCCTTTTATGATATTATATGTATGTCCTTTTCACCTTCCTGATCTTTCCTTACTTTGCATTTGTAGAGGCAGCCTCTGCACAAGCGATTGTCACTGGCGTCGAAGGGCCGAAGAGACATCTCCTCGAGCAGGAGTTCTTTTTGGCACAACCGAATGAGCAGGCAGTTGCCTAATTTTGGCTTTATATGGCGATTTGGTCTCTCGCACCAAGCTGTTGCAGGCATCCCAATTTTGAATGACCACAAAATGCTTGCTACACTATGCTCGTGCATATATATATATATATGGACATGGAAGCGAGCATGCCCCAGTCAATCAGACATGCGCAGGACGACGACTTGTGTGGCTTTTGGGACCGAGTGTGGCGCTATGCTGGGTCAGTTGACCATCCAATCATAGTAGCCATATGCAAGTTTTTTAACCTCATGACAACAAGGAAAGTATGCTTCATGTGCAAGATCGTGTTTGATGTCTCGCATGTCTCAGGTGACGAGAAATCCTGGTCTCACAGAGGATCACGACGAGGCGGTCCTATTTCGTGCTAAAGCTGATGCTTCGGAGCTGGTTTCATGGAGGTATGATTCCAGCTTCCCCTGAGCTCGAAAGCAACGAATTACATGCCGACATGCCAACTCTTTGCAACTCTTGGTCGATGGCGATACATTCCTTGGTGGGAATAAGCTCTTACTCAACACTAGCTGCCACTAGCTAGCCTTACAAGGAAGACGTTCAGACGCCGTACCACCCACTGTCCTTGACAGGCCCGCCGGGCCAGCAAGGCTTCAAGCAAGGCTATGGCAGTATCTCAGCTGCCTCTACGATTGTTCATTGCGGCTGACGCGTCCAAGCTTTTGGTTGAACACATGAAACAGCTTAGCTTGGCTTCATGTCGGCAAGGTTCGGGGCACGGCCGGTCGTGTTCACGACGCCGAGGTCTATGCCTCTGTACCTTCTATGCAGAGCTCGTTGGCACAGCCAGCTACTTAGTGTGTTTGGCCTAGCTAGCTTGCCAGGTCTTTCTCCGGCTTATGATATCAAATAATATGTTGTCACCTTCTTTCAGCAGCCCATCCCACATCCATTCATTTCAGGGGACTTGATGGGGTCCTGGAACAAAGGCCCACATCCATGAGAAGATAGGGCTGATTTTCCCGCCGATTACAGTGATGTTGACAGAGCGGCATCTCTCAAGTTTGTGGCACATCCGCCTGGATGTTTTCATGTATGGTCCAAGAGGCTCCCCGCACATTATACAATTGGTAGCTCCAAGTATTGTTTCATTATTCTTTTTCATTTTATATATTTAATTGATTGGTAGCTCCAGGCTCTCTCGTTGCTTGCAGGCCACAGCATCGGCGGAGGAGCTCCTCTCGGTCCTCGCCCAACCCCAACCCAAACACGCCGGCGCCCAAGCAGACGACCGTTGTTGCTCATTGCTGCCCCTCACTCATCCACTGCTTACACGCCCACGATTTCGTCGCTTGAATCATTTTTTAATCTTCGTAACCTTGACCAGCAGTGGTTGTTGGCAGACGGGTGGTGAAGCACCAAATCTATGCAAATGTCAAATTTCTGTCTCAATCTGGATTCCAGCTTCCCGGAGATGTGGCACCTGAGGCCTTCCGCGACAGCCATGGGTGCCCTCTTCGGGACGGTCTTCTCCAAGTCGGTGGGGCGTACTTTGCTGAAGCAAACCATTCTTGTAGTGTATATTCAATCCAATCCCAAAAGCCAAAGTTCCTCAACAGTCTAAGTCAGGCTCCAAGCCTCCAGAGCACGGCACAAACAGCGCTGCCTCCGCAGCTGCCTCCTCAACTGCCTCCGCAGCTACCTCCAGCACTGCCGCCGTCGCCGGTGCCGCACGTCGCTGAGAGGG